TTCCAAATTTGTTCTTCGTCATGGTTACAAATTGTTTTAATTTGGAGATAGCTTCATCTTTTGTAGCTAGCAGATAGATCGTTGTGTATCTCGAATGATCGTCGATGAATGTTATGAAGTATTTCTTTCCTCCTAGTGATGTTGTACCGATTGGTCCACAAATATCTGAATGTATCAAGTCTAGAACTGATTTTGCTCTATAGTTGTTTAGCTTGGGATACGGCAATTCAGTCATTTTGCTTCTGATACAGCATTCGCATTCTTTTTCCTTTTTGGCTTCTCCGTCAATCCTTATTCCGGTTGCCAGGTCATCATTCTTTAGCCTCTTGATTGCTTCATAATTTCTGTGTCCTAGCCTTCTATGCCAAAGATCTATACAATTTTTCTCTTCTTTCTGCAGTTGAAATTTTTTCTGTTTTTCTTTGCGATTCAACTACGGTATATAAATTTCCTTCTGCTTTAGCAATTCCTATGGTTTTATTTTTCTTCTTTATTCTGCAAATATCTTCTTCAAATTCAACTGTAAATCCTTTCTTTGTAATTTTTCGTACGGATATCAATCCTCCTTCTAGGTCAGGAACGTACAGAACATCTACGAGTCTCACTTCTATTTCGTTATCTTCGTCGTCTGTACAGTATAAGTATCCTTCTCCTATACCTTCGGACTTCATCTGCGTGCCGTTAGCAATTGTTATCTGCTCAGTTTTGCTTCTATCCAATTTGGTGAAAAAGTTTATGTTATCGGTCATATGACAAGTAGCACCTGAGTCAACTGACCAGTTTGAGTTTTGAGATTTTCTTTCTCTGGTGACTTCGAACGTGTAATTCTCAGTCTTCTCATGATTCTTATTTTCGTTTTCATCTTCATGTGTATCCTCGTTTACAGCAACTTTCGTTTTCTGTTTATTTCCATAATTTCCTTTATTCGTTTGCTTTTCATTCTCGAAAAATTAGTTACTTTCGTTTTTATCTTTTTCTTTGTGGTTATTTAAGAATCTGCATTCTTTTTCTAAGTGTCCTATTTTTTTGCAATAATTGCATCTTCGTTGATTGAAATGCTTGAATTTTGTGTTAAAATTCGTTTTGAAGGCAGTTGTTTCTTCTGTTCGCGTGCCTTCTTTTCTTCTCAGGCATTCGTCGATGAGTTTCGTTTTTACGTATTCCAGCGTTAGTTCTTCTTCTGGGCGTGCTTCTAAAGCTGTAATAAGATTTTCGTAGCTTTTTGGTAAGCCGCTTAGTAAGAGCGCTGCAATGTGACTGTCCTTTATTTCTTCACCGATTCCTCGCAGTTCGTCTACGATTTCGAGCATTTTGTTGACATGTTCTTCGAGTTTGTATTCGTTTTCTGCTTTTAACGTATACAGCTTTCTCAGAAGGTAAAGTTTACTGGAAAGATTCTTTCTTTCATGTATTTTCTTTAATTCATTCCATATTTCTTTGGCTGTCGTTTTATTTCTTATGTGTACGATTTGGTTGTCTTCTACGAGTAAACTAATGGTAGCTTGTGCTTGTTCATCTCGTTTTCTCCATTCGACATTTATTTCTTTTGGTGTATCATCTGCTATTAAATCCCATAAATTTTCCTTTTTCAGGATCATTTCAAGTTTGTATTTCCATACTTGATAGTTGTTATTGTTTAGTTTCATGATCGAATATTTATTTTCGCAGCTAGTAGCCATTTCTGCTTCTGTATTTCGAATGCGCAGTACACAACTATGCAGTTTTGTTTCGCTTTTGAAGACAGGCTTGGCTATTTCCTTTTTCGGATTATCCAGCGGTAATTTATGCAAAAGTATCTTTTCTGTTTTTTATTCTTGATAGCTTACCTCAACATATTTTATGCATTTAGTTGAAGGAAACATACTCTCGGTCTCATATCTATTGTTGAAGGTATTCGTGGTTCTTTTTTTTTTTTTTTTTTTTTTTTACTGTTACAACTTCGCTAAATCGAGACGAGCAGATGAATAAAACAGAATTAAAGTTCTTACCTTAATAAAGTGTAATCCAAGCTGCCGATGTAAGGAACACGATCATTATATTAGCAAACACAAAATAACATATTTATTAGGTATTAGAAGAAAAAAAATATCTAGAGATGATTACAAGCGTTGTTTACTGTCCATTGCATAACGCGAGAAGTGAGTCATACAAGGAGAGAATGTTTCTCCTTCTTTTTGGATCAAGTCCAATCACAGTTAGCGGGGGTGAGGGGGAAATTAACGTCGGAGTGTACAGCTTCATCGCTGTCATTATGAATTGCTCCACATGAAATGCATTCAAAAGTAAATGAAATGTGGCATTATTGAACTAAATTAAAAAGTTTCCAGTGCCAAAGTAAAAGGATGTAAAAATATGAAATATTTAAACTAATATTTCTTTTGGCACAAATTACAGCTAATTATATATTTCTAAATATGGTTTTCCCGTGCAATTGATTCAAGTTCCCGTGCAATTCAAGGTGTGGATTTGATTATTTGTGATAATAAAAATATATGTTTTTAATTTGATAATCTCTCTTTTATAGTACTTAAATATTTATTACGTAGGATTGTGATAATGAATTCAGCAGACATTTAAAATTTTAAAATAGCTGAACCTTTTATTTTCTAGGTTTTGAAAGGTGATATTAAACCAGCAATAGAGACTCATGAAATGTTATATCAAGTCATGCAGAGGCACAATTTTTTACCAGAAGTAAGTATAATGTTTTTATTACTGAAAATAAATGCTTAGTTCTCCTATGATACAAAGCCCTTCATGTTTTTTATGTATTTTTAGGCCTTTACTGTTGATTTTCAAGTGCATTGGGGTCAGCATCCTTTACGCCCTGAGTTTGTGGAGAGTACATACTTTTTATATAAGGTATTTCAGCATCAAATTTTTTATTTTTCTATGTTTTAAATGCTTTTTATTTCATATGTTTCTCATACATGCTTTTATTGTAGGCAACCAATGACCCTTATTATTTAGAAGTTGGTAAAAAAGTTTTAAATAGCCTTCAGAAACATGCTAGAGTGCCTTGTGGATTTGCTGCTGTTAAAGATGTGAGAACCGGTAGCCATGAAGATAGGTATAAAAATTAATCTTAATAAACTTCTAAAAATGGAGTGTAATGTTAATTATTCTTGTATTCCACATTTGCTAGAAATAATTACGGAACCAAGAAATTGGACCTGTTTTAAAATTATAACAACATTTTAATATGTTTAGAAGCCAAGGTTAGTCAGAAGTATTATGAATTTTGATTTTATTATGAATTAAAACTTGATGCTTTTTAAAAATTTATTTGGTTATAGATGAATATCTGAAGCTATCACAAATATAGACTGCAAAATTTTATGCATTAAAGTGTTTATGATATTGCTAATGATAAGGGAACAAGGTAGACACATTTTGGTGTAGTCATTGCCAAAATATTGCATTTTAGGATGTCTGTGATTGTTACGTTCTGTGCAAAACAAGATAATTAAGAAAAGTCAGTAGTCTAAAAATTCTGCCATGGGTTTGATGATAGATGAAGAATTCCAGTCAGATTTAGGACCTTTTTCCCAGTATTTCTGATTAAGAGAACTCCTTAGGTGTTCTTAGTTGAAAGTCAAATCACTCATCTATCAAAATGAAAATGGCACAAATGTATGTACAATGGCACAATGGCAATTACATGTATGTACAATGTACAGTAGTTGGACAAAAATATGGAAACACCTTTAAAAAAACATGTTTCTTTGCTTAATATGGTGTAGGAAACCCGTTGGCATCCAAAACAGCTTGCAGTCTTCTCGGAATGAATAAATACAGTTCCTGTATGTTTGCCAAGGGAATTTTATACCATGCAAAACTGTGGCAAGTTCAGATAACGATGTTGGCAGTGGATAACGAGAACGCACTTTCCGTTCCAATGTAGACCACAAAGGTTCAATAATATTCAGGTCTGGTGACTGTGGTGGCCAGGGAAGATGGGACAACTCAACCTCGTGCTCAGAAAACCAGTCCTGGACAATGTGAGCTGTGTGAACAGAGGCTTTGTCGTCTTGGAAGACACCATCACCATCGGGGAACAAAGTTTGTACCATGGGATGAACTTGATCGGCCAAAATGTTCACATAAGTCTTAGCAGTCATGTGCCCTGACACAATTATCATGGGGTTAGCAGAGAACCACGATATGGCTGCCCAAACTATAACAGAACTCCCGCCATGTTTCACTCTTGGCAACAAGCAGTCTGTATTATAGGCTTGAGATGGCGTTTTCCAGACGTAAACTCGGCCAGAAGTGGGAAACAATGTGAAAGAAGACTCGTCAGACCATATTACTCGCTTCCACTGCTCTATAGTCCAGGCTTTATGACTTAAACACCACCTTTTCCTGTTACGGGCATTAGCATCTCTGATGAGTGGCTTATCAATTGCAGCACGGCCAGCAATTCCCTGTTTATGAAGCTCCCTTCTAATTGTTTTGGTACTCACAGGGTTCGGTAACACAACATTCATTTCAGCAGTAACTTTTGCAGGTGTGGTCTTCTTATTTTTCATCAAAATTGTCCTTAATGATCGTCTGTCGTGATCATTCAGGACACACTTTCGTCCGCGCTGTGATTTAGCAGATGATGTTTTTCCGCTTTTCAAATATGCGGAATAAATCTTAGATACAGTACCTCTTGAAACACTAAACACCTCGGCTACCTTGCTTACGGAAGCACCTACCATACGTGCTCCAACAATTTGCCCATGTTCGAAGTCTGTTAACTCTGACATAATGCAATGACAACCTCAACCTCACATAACAGTACTCCGACAACAACTGAACTGTTTAGCACATTTACGAAGTTGTATAGGTGGCGTCAGTAGTCAAAAACGCCAGCGCCACCTACATATTTCATTAAAATCAATCTTTTCTTTTCAAACATGCATTTCACAAGGTGTTTCCATATTTTTGTCCATCCACTGTATGTATGGCACAATGGCATGTATTTTTCCATTGAGTGTGTAAGTTGGCAGAGATATTGCCAAACTTGTGCTAATCACACAGATAGAATTTTGAAAGAACAAATTATTACTCTTTATTAGTTTATAATCACAGATCTCTCCTTATAATCAACAAATATAAATTACTGATAAAACATATATACTGTTTAATCCATTTTCAAATAAAGCCTATTATCTATTTTATCCATAATATCCATTATCTGTCTTCACATAAAGTGCCACATCATGCCCATTCCACCTTTTTTACTTCCTTGTACGAAGCAAAAAGGAAGTATTGTAATCACGAAAATTTTCAGGCAGTATATTTCAACGAAAATATCCTTTTTGAATGCCATCAAATGCAATTTAATGATGTTTTTGCATGACATCTGTATGTAAGGACAGAATAAAAGACTCTTGCCATCCAAAAAAATTATAAAACTGCTTTAAAATGAATTCTGAAGAGGATTTTTTGGGCGTCTGTGCGTACGTATTTCGCATAACTAAAAAATGAGTAGCCTCAGAATGTTGAAATTTAGTATATAGGACTGCTATAACATGTAGATGTGCACCTCATATTTTGGTTGCAATCGGCCACACCAAACATATATAAATATATTTATATATATCCACTCTATATATTTCTGTTACCCGGCTCAGTGATCTCAATTTCTTTACTTTTATATGTTTATAAATTATGCATTTTTTACTTAAAATGATTGAATTATGTTGTTCTTATCTTCCGGTTAAGGTTTTTATGCCTGTAGAAGTCAGGTTCCAAATTTTAAATTTTAATATTTTTTTTTTTTTTTTTCAAAACGCAAGAGGAAAGTGAAGATATAGCAGCTAATTTATATCCTTCTTCACAAAAATAAAACTGGCTCATCAAAAGTCAGAGTTGCATGAAATCAAAGCAGTGATCTTATGAGTGTGTTCTGACATCCTGTTTATCCATTATTGGACCTAAATTATACTGTCTGGTGACAATTTTTGTTTGTCAAAATAGTCAACAGAAAAATGTAAGTACGAAGGCAACAATTGAGTTAGGAAATGAGTTACAAATGAGTTTCCCAAATGTTATTGCTCTAATTATTTGTTTACTGCACTTTAATCTTAGCCAAAAGGCTGAATGGGGTTAAAACAGACTTAAGTAGTAAGAATTTAAATTGATTCATCATATTTTATGCTAAAAATTGTCTTCAAATAAATAAAGATTTTATGTAGATTATAATATTTATTTTAATACACAGTTTTTTTATATATGTTTGAAAGTTTTATTATCATTATTATTTTTAGGCTTAAGTATGAAAAGCATTAAAAATTTATATGTGGAACAATTTTTTTTTCTTATCCTCAACACAATTAGGATTTTCAAAGCCAAATCATCTGTGCTCCTGCTGGAATTTGAATCTTGGATCTTCCAGTTGCTAGAGCACATCCAGTTAGCAATTTGAAGATCATATGTGTATTTGGATGCTTATATGCTCATGAGAGTGCGTACAGGAAAATGCAATAATTTCTTCTATTATCTTTTAGTAGTTAATTATATACATATACTGTTTAAACTCATTTTTTGCCTCTTTACTGGGCAATAATGAGTAACCAGTATTCACGTAGTAGACTTACCTTCTCACCAATACCATATTTATTGAAAAATTCCAAGCTTGATTTCACAATTCCCGTGTCAAACAGAAAACAGAAAGATAAAAGTAGGTCTGGATTGTGATTCTGCAACTCTCCTTGTCCTTCTACCCCTTAATGTTGAGATGTAATCATAATATGCGTTCATATATATTAACACAGTTGGTTTTAAATAGCACTCACATTTCGAGACCAGATAAGTTTGAAAAAAAAAAAAAAAATGTAATAACATAGGATCAAATCCTGGAAGTTTTTGATAGCTCTAGTAAAATAAGAGATAAATAATGATCAAATTTATGAATTTACACCCATTCTTGTTCCTTTAACACCACCAATAAATGATAAAATGCCTAAAACAGAAGAATTTTGCATCCTGAGATATTTAATAAAGTGGAAGAATGGTTGTTTTGTGATTTTCCTCCATGTAAGAAATATTTTAGCCTTTTTAAAAATAAAAATGTCCACCATAAAAATCATCCCTTTCTGTATAAATATCATATAGATTACTTTTGCTTTAAATAATTATCCAGTAAAGACTTAATAATTCAACTTATATCTGTTGTATAATTTTAAAGGAGCAGAAAGGAATAGCATGATTTTAAAGAAATAGCATTTTAAAGGAATAGCATGATTTTAAAGGAGCACAAGTTAATTTTCAACTTTTTGTAATCTATGAAGAGGGAAAAGGTTATTATAATAATTATTTTGTTCTTCTTTGAAGATTAAAAGAATCAATACAGTTTGCTTTTCTTTATTGAATATGCATTTTAATATGTTTTAGCAACAAACTAATGTTTGATAAATTGAAATACATTCTTATAAATCTAGAAATTTTTATTATTTATGTGTAACATGATATTATGCAAATGTGATCATTTTTTCCTTTGTAACAGTCAACATTTAATTAGTTACTTTAACTGATGAAATGTTAATTGTTATAGAAGAAAACAAGTATCACACTTCCTATGCTTCTACTTGAGCTTAGAAGTGATTGATTTGGGTACTGATGTTTTATTCCAAGTTCATTATTAAATTAATCTGAATTTATAATAGTATGTTATTTTAGTAATGTTAGTTTAAAATAAATTTTAAAATTTCTAGCAAAATTCATTTTACTTATATTATTTTATTTCTTTTTATTGAGACTGATGTGATGTAAAATAATTTTCTCTTCTTCCTAGGATGGATTCCTTTGTTCTAGCAGAAACTCTAAAATATTTGTATTTATTGTTTGCTAATAAAGAAGAATTAACAGTTGAAGTTGATGACTTTGTATTTACAACTGAAGCTCATCTTTTGCCTCTTAGCTTGGCAAGGATTAGTAATTCCAGCTTCATAGATGTAATTATAAGATATATTTCATTCATCATTCATTGATTTGTATCAGCATCAGTTTCATTAATTTAAATATGCATTATTAAAAGCATTAGTTTCATAAATTTGCTTGCACAACGATTGAAGTTATATTTTCAATTAAAATGCATCAATGTTTTATAAGATTTAAAAATAATGATACTTCATCATGCTTGATAGAAAATTAAATAATTGGTACTGTTTTTAAATGTTATAAAAGAAGCTTTATTGCAATGCCTTTTTATACTGTTACTATTTTCTGCTTTTTTTCATGAAAATGAGGACTTTGATTCCAGATGCAAATATGCCACTTTGCAAGTTTAAAATACATGATGAAATCAACTATTTCTCAGTTTCCTGGCTTCCCAGTCATCAGATATTAATTAAAGACTGCAAAATGTTCTAAAAAAATTCGCCATCAATATTAATTGATAGTTTAGCACACATAGTGTTCATTATATAGATATCAAATTTATATTGTATCATTTGCTGCTGCTTTGTGTTGAGTTTTTCTTGGTAACAAGTAAGAGAATGAATATTTTCTTGGTAACAAATCAGAGAATATGCTTGCAGTACTTTTCTTGTATGCACTTCACATAAACTAACAGTTACAAATAAAGAAAATATTCATGTTGTTGCATTTTTAAATTAAAAAAATATCAGTTTTGTGAAGTGTAACTTTTATACAGTCTGTGTAGCTAGTAGTAGTTGATACTCATTTAAAAAAATGAAATGCAAACACTTTGGCTCCTGCATGACAAAACTGAAGAAAATGTTTAAAGTTTGAGATGATGTTTAAGGCTTATATACAAATTGAAGATTGAAATTCTTGCATTTGTATGTAACTAAAAATGAAACATTAATTTAGAAAAATTGTGTAATGTTTAGATTTTGACAAGATTAGCATTGCTATGTAAACTGTTGTGAAAAGTATTGAACGATATAAATAAGTAAAAAATTAAAAAAGAAAGAAAGGAGATCTTGAGTGGAAAATCTTATAGATCTTTTATTCTAGAAAAAATAAAGGATCATATGCTTCTTAAATTTTTTTTCGTTCGTGATTTCTTTTTATCATCGACTTTTTTTTTTTTTTTTTTTTAAGTGGACTCTCCACAAACTTTTGCTATTTCTTCAACAATTTTTTTTTTTTTTCATAAACAACTGTTTTTAATGCTGTCACTGTTTTTTTTTTTTCCTAATTCAACTCTCAACCAGTATTTTTATCCAATTCTTTTAAGATTTAAATTTTATCTTTTGAAAACAGTGCCTTTCTTTTTTGTGACATTTTGTATCAGTTAATTCTGTTCCACCTAGCTTACTTAACACAGCTTCCTATTCAAAAGAAAAAGTGCATTTATTTTTCCTTTAAAATATCACCTATATTTGTGAACTGGTTTTCAAGTCCTGTACCAGTCTGTGAAGTCTCATGCTTTTCTTTCTTTCTCCTATCCCTATTTTTCTAGGGAAAATACTTGAACAATGGAACTGTGAAATTTAAAACCAGCACAGTAAGTGAGGTGCAAGTGGAATATAACTGAAGTTATGCGATGTGTAAAAGAAAAATTTTACTATTCAAATAAGTAGGAGTGAATCAGAACTGAGATGAAATAATGTATAAATGTAAAAGACGTGTTAACAAGAAATGTATAAACGGTGCTACACTGTGTATTGAATTAAAGATAATGAAGGAATTGCAGCTAATGGTTCTTTAAATTCATGTATCTTCATTGAATTTTCATGACCCACAGCATTTCACTTTGTGATCCTATTTAGGACTGCTGTTATTTAGGACACACTGTTCAGGTGGAAATGTTGAAATCAAAAACGAAAGTAAAAAAAAAATCCATGATTCAAATACGTCAACATAGCCATCGTTACTTTATTTGCGCAGTGGAAGCGTGCTGGGCCCATAACCTGTTATAAAATTAACAAACAGAGTAATGGCTAATTGAATTTTTAGACTGTATTAACAAAAAAAGAATAAAGAGAACTTACGTACGTCTTATTGTTTACACGACAACTTTTAGAATCATGAAAATAAAAGTGATGCTAGATGCATAAAACATAATAAACCAATAAAACAATGATGCCACTGAAACTGCACATAATATCAATTAAATACTCGATTCTCAACAATTATGAGTGTTTTAGGTATTGAAAAACATTACTTCTGAAGATAGTTTCAAGTGGTAGGGGAATTCATCTCATGTCACAATTATTTAAATTTAACACAATTTAATTTTAAAAGAAAATTTGTACAGTACATCTGTAATCCGGACTCGTCGGGACTTCGGCGATTCCGGATTATAGATCATCAATTTAAATCTGGTAAGATGGCATGCAGAAATTACAAAATTAAAAATATGAAACCGTAATTTATGAAATAAGACAATTATGATCTAAAGGGATCAAAATTTACAAAAAGAAAAGCTTAATATTTATTTGTTTACTTTATTAAACATTTCCTTCAATGTACGTTGCTTCGTTTCATGTGATAATACTTTCTTCTTTAATTCTATAAACGACATAATTTCTTGTTCAATTACAAAGTTTCACTGTTAAGTCCTGTAATTGCTGTGTCAAGAATACCAACTAACTTGTCAATCAAAATTTTTTCGTTTTCAATAACCTCTCTGTCACTTTCTTCACTATTGGAAGCGGTACATCAAAACATGCTTTTGCTTTGTAGATCCTTTGGCAGCTCCAGAATTGGAAACTCTTTTTGACATAATCGAAAGTTCAAGCTTAATTTTTATAAAATTGCTCTAATAGTTTGCAAAAAATAATAAACCGGATCTAATTAGAAAATTAAGGAACAGCACAATCTGCAACATTAACTGAAATGCCTTAAAATCAGTAAAGATAATTTTAGCCTAGCTTATACTGTCTGTTATACATTAAACACGCATGCGTAAAGCTTACAAAAAAAAAGAAGTTTGTGGCTTTGAGGTCCAGATTATAGATCATTAGGGATAATGGACGTCTGGATTTCGGTCTTTGTACTGTATATACCATTTTACATATTTTAGAGAACATTTCCTCTGTTCTCTGAAGAAGGGCATCAGAGATCACAGATGGCCGTCCTGTTCTTTGTTCATCATGAACATCGGTCCTACCTTCAGAGAAATGACGACACCATTTCGTTACATTTTGTCGATTCATAATGTTCCCATAAACAGAAACAATTTCTTTGTGAATATCTGCTGGTCGCTGACCTTTTGCATGAAGAAAACGTATGACGGACCACACTTCGCATTTGGCAGGATTCTGAATCGGTGCAGCCATTTTAAACACGATCTACTCCAACCAGAATCAACATTGAAATGCCGAACGACCATGAGGAGAAGCTAACGGTTCAAGGTTAACACCTCTGTTGCCAACTTGCTCACTAAAACTTTTCTTTTCCTCTGGCGTACGGTGTATCTTTACTTTTCGAAATGCCCTCATACATTATCACTTGCAATTTCTTAATTTAGTTAGGAAAATAGTTGTAATAGAGATTTCAATTTCAATGGCAAAATAATTTGAAATATTTTTCAGAAAATTTTAGTTATGATTATTCTTTCTATGATTCAACATACATAAATATGTTCATTTATTAAAAAAAAAACTCATTTCTTGTTGTAGTCTCCAAAGATGTCAAACATTGAAGAAAATACTGAAGACTTTACGCACAGCTGTCCAAATACTCACTATCTGTTTCCCGAAGGGAGAAATTTTGCTCAATCAATTCGACTTCCTTTGAAAAATCTTGTTGAAGGAGTATGCCCTTCAAGCAAGTCACAGTAAGTTAATTATTCAATTTAACCCCTTTTGCTTTAATTTATATCACATCATAATATCTAAAATTAAGTAAATATTAAAGGCATACTTTTATAAGGTGTTTAGGTTAATTCATTAGAATATTATATTTTGCTTAAGTATATGGATCGATAAACTCATTAAAACAATAATTTCACTTAAATACCTATTCATCAATAACTGAGTGACTAAAACTACAGAGTGCTGGTGGTTCGATGTGATATTTGATTCTTAGTGGCAGAATGGTCTCGGTTATTTAAAGCACACGAGAGTTGTCTGCCTAAGGGGAAGGATATCTCTGTAAAAACTTTCTAAGGGAAACTGACCTGTATTCACATTATGCATGGGGAATGTATTCTTATTGCATATGGTGAGAAACCACAAAAAACAATCACTCAGCCAGCCTGTTCAAACCCAGGACAAAATACTAGTATTCAGTAGACTTCAGCTATTTGGCCACTGGTGGAGTGCAGAATGGTATGACTGCTTTCTTTTTAAATCTTCTGTACACTGTGATATTATTAATAATACAATCAGAAGTACAGTAATAGTATCTAGGCTTGGAAGTTTTTTCTGTAAACGTGGTTTTATGTGAGAATCAAAATTTTGGCTTTTTGAGAAGTGGAATGGAAATTTTTATTGTATAGACTCATGGGAAATATTCATATGTTTTTGCTGTGCTGAAATCAAGGCAATTTTTTAGTGTATAATCTGTTGACATTTAAACAGATTATACACTAAAAAATTGCCTTCTGTCTTTATTATTCTGTTTAAATGTCAACAGATTAAATTGGTAGACATTTAAACAGAATAATAAAATTTCTCTTTATTTGCCAAATGCTTTTTGTCAAATGGTTATTCTTTGCATTATACATACTATGTTATGCTTATTTAAATCTTAAATCTTGTTAAGAATGTATTAAATTTTTATTTAAAGTTTTTATGTAATTTTCTTTCAAATATTTTAGCTCTCGAACACTGTTTGCTTCAGAATTTCAAGCTGCAAATAAAGAAAACCTTGAAGCAGTGAAAAAAATGGGCATCACTGTGTTAAAATTATCTGATGGGCGAATCCAGCTAATACACAATGCATCACAGGTGAAATAATTTTTGCAATGCTTCACCCCCTCCTTCAATGATAACCACATTTTGTTTCTCCCAATATAAAAATTCTGTTGGCTGATCCGGTTTCCAAATAAGGCTTTCATTAAAGCAACAACTGTGTACTTTTTTAAAAGCCTTGCTTATGTCTTTTAAGAGTTTTACTTTATTGTAAAAAGGAATAAGAGTTTTTCTTAAATTCTTTTTTTTTTTTTTTTTAATCAGCTTTAAATTTATTCTGTTTGTATTTATTACTGTATTTGCTAGAGGAAAATGATGTAATCATATAAATATAAATGATTTTATTCTGTATTTTTAATGGTTATTTATGATATATTCATTTGCAAAATATGTAAGATGTAGTGAATTGCATTAAAATATCCAAAGGAGAAAAAAAAAGTTTTCATCATGCTTGAAATTTTGTAGCATATATGTAATATGTCCTACAGAAAAAGAAAAAACTTTAACTTTTTGACTTGCCGTTTAAAAAACAATAATCCCCAAATAAACAAAATTATAAGCACCTTCCAAATGTAGGTGGAATAAAACACACAGTATGGCACTAATCAATTAGTATTTCATATTCTTGATGTAATAAAAAGGAATATAGATTTTTAAAATTAAGAGACACCACTTAGAAAAAATTTAGTTATTTTGCATATATCATTCAGCATTTAATGTAAGCATGCAGCATGTAAGGGCCAATACTTTTGGATCAACTGTATTTACATAGCATTTATTACATAAATTTGTAAAGGGATTTACTTTATTATTTGTTTCTTGAATATCAAGATTATGAGAATGAATTTTAGCTAATCATGGCTGGAAGTAAAAATTGAAACTGTTTTAAAGAGCAAAGTAATGTATGCCAAGTAGAAATAAATCTTTTGACTTATTAAAAGTAGCCAAGCAATTTGGTTCATATTTAATAATACCGATCCATGTCGGAAAAAAAAAATGTGAAAGCTTTCATATTTTATATTACGCTCAAAGGGGCACTTTTTTAACGTTTTTTGGTACTACCTTTATTTATTGAATATCATGTTCTTTGCACTTAAACCACAAAATTCAATTCTAGAGTAATATCACAAAATATTTAAAAGAGCATATCTTTAGAATTTCTGATACACAGTCTCGTACGCTGGAGATAAAAATGCATTTCTTTTTCCATACAGTAATGCCATTGCTTGTTTTGAAATCAATGAGTTTCTTAATCAGAACCTCATAAATGCTTTACAAAATATGACATCGATAATAAAACAAATTCCAAATTTGAGCTTCCAGATGCCCATATTCGAGTGGAGACGATGGCTCTAGGTACCGTTGTTTTATCACAGTGCGAGAAAAATACATGTATTTATGCAGATTCTTCATTATTTACTTTGTTTAAATTTAGCACAGGGCTCTAGTATTTAGTGGCAACAATTTAAAAAGTGATTCGCCGTTTATAGTGAATCAATGCAAAATGCCAAAACAAAATTAATACCCCTTCTGAGCTTAATGCGCTTTGGGCTAATAAAATAAAAAGTGAAAGAAAACTGGTTAGTACTCCTTTCTGCTGTTAAATTGTTATATAACATATCACTAGTGATTATTGACTTTTCATAATAGGTTTCATGCTTAATCATTGCAAAGAAAAGTTTGCTTTTAATTTATATGTTTATTTTATTTAAAAGCTATTTAGATGTATCATATTTTGTTAATTGTCTGCTTCTGATGCCAGTAGCCCAGACTGTGAGTAAAACAAGGTGAAATTAACTAACTGGCTATACAAAAGCAGTTTTTACTTTTTGAGAATTGGTTGACAGCACATAAACCACAATAGAATAAATGCATTCTTTAAAATTCACTCTAGTATTTGTTTACCATAGCGACACTCTGGCGCTGGATTCACTTAAAAATTATTACTGTAACTAAATTTGTATTACTGTCAGTTTGCGTGCAGTGCTTCAGTACAAATTTTAAATTTTTGGAAAATACAGTTAGTTTTTTCTTTATAAAACAAATTCTTATGCACTATTCAGTAAAATAAATCAAGAAAAATAATCATCTATATATAGAGATGACACACTGAAAATTTCATATATGTATGACCAAAACAATTTGACTTATTAAAACTCGAAAATCAGCTAAAATTCTCACTTTTTGTGTTGCTCTAAAGTGATGACTCCACTTCAGTATTATATTTCGTTCATATTATAACTCATAATGCACAAAATTTATATCATTTAAAGAATAGTATTATCTAATCATTGCCACATGTTCTATTCAAATACTATAATAAAGCTAGAATGATGTATAAAAGAAATTAAGCAAATAAAACAAAAAAGAAACAGTTTTTCATAGACGATTGAGTATTTCTCATTTAATTAATTCAGTTCTCACTTCGAGAGGAGGCAAAAATACATAAAAACTCAAAATATCTATATTAAAAATTACGAAGTAAATCTAAAACACTTATTTTCTCAAAAAAATTCGAGAAAGGATTAAGCATAATTTAATTGGCAATAATAAATAAAGGCGTTATCTTTGTTGTTGCGAAACTACGTTTCTGTAGATTGGCAACAAATCCACTACTCTGCTGTTTCAAATGTAAACAAGCAATGGCCGCCATCAAAAACATTATTAGACTTAGTGGCTTTTGAACAACTTTAAAATTGTTGGTAATTCTAAAAATATAGCATACAGATTTACTAAAGGCATAAAAACCTTAACCGGAAGATAAAAACAACATAATTCAATCATTTTTAAAGCAAAAAATGTACAATTTACAAACATATAAGAGTAAAGAAACTGAGATCACTGAGCCGGGTAACAGAGTGGATTATACGTTTGGTGCGGCCGATTGCAACCAAAATACGAGGTGCACATCTACATGTTATAGCAGTCCTATATACAAAATTTCAACCTTCTGAGGGTACTCATTTTTGAGTTATGCGAGATACGTACGTACGCACGTACGTACATATGTTCGTACAGACGCCATGAAAAATTCTCTTCAGAATTAATTTTAAAGAAGTTTTATAAGTTTTTTTTTTTTTTTTTTTTTTTTTTTTTTTTTTTTTTTTTTAGGAAACGAGTCTTTTATTCTGTCCTTACGTACAGATATCACGCAAAAACATCGTTAAATTACGTTCGATAGTGGTCAAAATGGATATTTTTGTTGAAATATGCTGCCTGAAATTTTCGCGATTACAATACTTCCTTTTTACTTTGTACAAGGAAGTAAAAAAGGAAGTTGGGAAATTCTGGGTCTTTTTTCAGTACTTTCTGTAACTGGCATGACATTAAAAGGTCTTACAAAACTATTTTACTTGTGTCCTATATATTATTTCATTTGAAGCTCTTCATTATTACAATCTGTTTTACATTTTGTTACATTATTTCAGTGAAGTATCAGCACTAAAGTTTGATATACATGTTTTATTTGTTAAGTATTTTAGTTGCTATTAAATTGTTTGTAGGATCATTAACATAACATTTGTATAAATTCTGACTTGTCTCAAACTGGGTAAGAAACACAGTTAATATTCCACCACAAGATTATGCTTTCTGCTACAAATGATTATTTCATCTGGACTGGGTGGGGGAAAAAAAAAAAAAAAAAATTTATGTTCATTGAAAAAGATTGAAATTATTGGTGTTTTCTAGAGTATTGCAAGAAATGTAATAAAATGTGATTCTTTAGCTAAAGATACAGTCCGAATCTCTTATCCTACAAAAGAGAGGAAAACTTGGGGAAAAAATTAAAAATGGAATCAGTAGATGACAAAGAACATACTCTGTCAAGGCTTCATAAGACTATCCTACAGGGAAATAAAATTACTTAAGGGAAAAATTAAAAAGAAGTACAAAGTACCATTAAATGCATAATTTTTCTTATAAATAAGAATTTTATTATATTATCATTGTTTATTTAAGGTTATTTGACAAAATCTTTAAATTTATTTTTCTCTTTCATTTTAAATCTTTTAGATTGTAGTAATTAAAAAAAGTGCAGTATTTTGAATTTTATAATACTGGACATATTAAAGCTGACATTTATTGATTTATTTAGGATTTTGTATTAAGAAAATGGTGTGGCTTGACTCTCAGCTATGTGCCACTACCTCTTCATTAGCTGTTTTATATTTAAGGAAATTCAACTTGACTAGTCTTGAGATACTTATACCTTAGGAAAAATTTAAAGTGTAGCATTTTCTGTTTTGGAATTGTCATAACTTTAAGGACTTAATTATTTTAATTCATAGTAAGTGATACTGAAAAATTTTATATTTGTACTTTTACTAGAGAAACATTTCTAGTCTGAAATATCAGACACTAAGAACGTTGTTCTTTGTATTAATGTCACCCTGAACAAAGGGAACAAGATTCAAAATTAATTTCTTTTCATATATAGTAATTTTAAGTTATTTTTTTTTAAGAAAATTATCTGTAAAATTCATATTTTTAAAAGTGATCGAGACTGAAAAATAACAAATATCTGTGGCTTCTATGTAGACTTCTCCTGATTTAAATAGTTTTCTTAAATATATCATAACATGGTTTGAATTTTTTAAATGCCTAACTTCTTGAGTGGAATACATTTTAAATATAATTTAACAATATCCCATTAAATAAATGTATTCACTTAAAATTTATCTTACAGGCCGATTCCCCAGAACGAGCTGAAGAAGGTGTAATTTTTATGCAGGAAATGATAGAACTCTCAAGAGCCCAGTCTATGAATGGTATAATGTTTTCAATAAACTTTTGCATGCAGAAGTGTTAAAATGAAAAACATGCTCTAACTACTAATTTTTCACTTTTTTTAGAGCATGTCCGAACTGTGTACTTCTACTTACCTGATCAAAAGAATAAAGTAGTTCTGAATGCTGGTCCTGCACAATTTGGAGTTGATATAAAAGGAAGGCAACCAGTAAGAACATTTTCCTTTTCTTGGTACATTTAGGAGACCCTTAAATAGTTTGATTTTTAATACCTGAAGAATTTTTTAATTCATTTAAATAGTAGATAAACTGCATTGTACAATACCTTTGTTCTTCGCTGAGATCACACACAGAGCAAATGCCTATTGATTTATTAGGACAATTGTGTAATAATTAAAAACTTAAAATCAATATAGACAAAAGAGTATTAATTTTTTGAATTAAGTGAAAAATTCAAAATTTGCAGGTTAAAAATTGAAAAATTTAAAAACTGTGAAAATTAATAACTGCAGTTATAAACTGTTAAATTACCATTACTCATACTATTTCTGAATTTCACTATAGAACGATTTTTTTTTTTTTCCCATTGAGAAGTGTTCCATATTTAACCGTTTCCCTTCAATTTAACATTTTATCAATAAGAGTATTATGTGATGTGAAATTTTAGTAACTATTTCATACAAGTGTTTCTTGTAAACAGTTGTTTTTTTTTATGTAAAATTTCTAATACTCTTATTCGATAATATATATAAACTGCTGCTAATGTGGTTTCAAGGAGTTTTCATTTCTAGATATTGACATGACATGAATTCTTAAGTATGATTCATGTGATGAATTATATGTCATATTCTTTCAAAATTTCCTTTTTACTTCTATAAGGAAGTAAAAAGAAACTTTAACTCATAATAGAAAATAAAAAAAAAAAAAAGAAAAGAAAATGGTCAAAGTAAACTATATATCATGATGAAAGGATTTGGAGACAGAGTATATTGAGGAATATTCATACTAAAATTGGCGTAATTTTTTAGCAATATTATTTATTAGATTATAGCCTTATAGGTTACATGTTTACATTTTACCTGAATGATGATTAATTTTTGTGTTAGAAAATATCTTTATCTTCCTTATCTTGCCTAGAAATTCATAAAAAATTCTTTCAGTTTTGGAAAACAGTCTAGATTTATAGTGTACTTAAATTGCCATGTGAATGGGTATGAATATTATTGTTTGATTTTCTTATTTGTTGCTTATTTGATGTAAATCTCCACTATCATTTATCTGATGGTGGAGATTTATATTAAATATCCATCTTTTACTTTGTCATTTTAATCACATTAGTTATGAAATTTTATTATTTGTTTGGGATAATTATTGTGCTTATTTGAAAAATTGAAATTTTGTTACTTTAATTTTATAACAGACTGTGTGAAAGAAAATCTCTAAGCACAAATATAGCTTAAACATAAGGAGGGGACTAACAGTTAGAGAAACCATGGAGATTAAAAAAAAAATGCATAAAAAGTAAAACATTACAAAATTATACTTAAATTTATTTCTTGTAAACAGTTTTTTTTTTTTTTTTTTTTTTTTTTTTTGTATGTAAAATTTCTAATACTCTTATTTCTGATAATCTTATATATAAAACTGCTGCTAATGTGGTTTCAAAGGAGTTTTCATTTCTTAGATATTGACATGACATGAATTCTTAAGTATGATTCATTGTGATACTGAATTATATGTCATATTCTTTCAAAATACTTCCTTTTTACTTCGTATAAGGAAGTAAAAAGAAACTTTACCTCATAATAGAAAATGAAAAAAAAAAAAAAAAAAGAAAAGAAAATGGTCAAAGTACAACTATATATCATGATGAAAGGATTTGGAGACAGAGTATTATTGTAGGAAGACGAAAGGTATTCATACTAAAAATTGGCTGTATGATTTTTAGCAATATTATCACTTTATTTACGTTTGTGCAGATGAACTTATGTCCATTACATAGTGTAAGCAGCAGTTAAAAATGCATAAAGCAACTGCTGACCATAATAAATAGGGATGGTTTTCTATCAGCAATATCTGTGTTGATTAATCACAGAATGCTTGTACAATATAACTTAAACGTATTTCTTTATCCTGATGAAAATATTCTGATAGAATTGTTTTTACAGTTGAATTATTTTGCTTTTGTGAGGAAATGGCAAGAAATTTTTATTTCCTTAGTTAGCTATAATGTTGGTTTATTGCTCTTGAGTTTGCTGTTTATTGGTTTATGATATTTAGATAGCAGACTTCAGAGAAAAAGGAAGATGATTAACAATAAAAAACTAAATTGATGATTTAAAAAAAAGTGAAGGGTGAAGGTTAATTAAAAAGAATGGCATAAATGTCCTTACATTTTTTAAATTGATATATTGTCTACTGCATTCAGTTTTAATAACTTAGTATAAGCAATAATACTTTTCATAGTTTTGATATTTTGCAGTGTAAATATTAAAATATTGTAGCAGTTTAAATATTTATTTTATAATATGCTTTAGAGTTAGTCTCAATTAATAAAATTTATCTTGTTTAAATTAATAATATCAGCAGTCACGTAAGTGATATAAATAAACATGATATTTATTGTAGTAAATGATTAATAAACATTTTTGTATTTTCTTCTAATATATATATATATATCTTTCAATTCTTAGATAATATCTCAAATAAGAATTGCTCAGCCTATTACAGCCTGTTCACATATTCAAAATGGTAGAGAGTTGAAGGGTAAAATTGCTATTGTTGAACGAGGAGATTGCATGTTTATTGAAAAAGTAAGTTTTATTATGAGAATTAAATTTTGTGTTAATGCTATATATCAGGGATGGCCAAACTTCAAGATGTTGCGAACCGCATGATGGATTTTATGAACAATCGATAGCCACTAGTGCAAATTTGTATCATTTAAAAAATAATGAAACAAATTTTGAATATAAAGAAACTTTTAAAGTAAACTAATTAATGTGTGATTAACATGATTACATATAAATATGAATAAATACATCTTAATTCTACTGTTTTATGTTCAGAAAAGTTAAGTTCCAAGAAAATAAATATTTGTAACTCATGTACTGGGTAGGTGAGTGTTTTTCCTTCAGGGTAGAGAAACCAAATAATTTCTTCTGATTTCCTTTACACCTCTCCATGTATAATGTTTGTTGTTTTATTTTTAGTAGAAGTAAAATGAATCGGAAACATATTCATTGGTCTACAATTACATGAAAAGATGTTATTTGAGTAAATTACAAATTATTATTTAAAAGAGAATTGTGTATGTGTTCTTTTTTTTAACTCGTGAGCAGTCTTTTAGGAACGATAAATTAAATGACAAACATCAACGCGTACTGCAGAGAAACTGTTATTTGAGAAAAAAACATTTAATTATTAACTTGTTAAACTTTGCTTAAAAAGTAATTTTGTTTCTCCACGAAATTAATATAAGGAACAATTTACTGAGATCATTCAAATCTTTGGATCCTAATCTATGAAACCATTAAACACTTGATATATTAAACACAAATATCTCTCATGACAGTCCTGACTGATGCAGTATTTCAGCGTGGCATCCAATGAAATCGGCCAGAATTCTTTAGTAATCAGTACACTGTGCATCACTGAAAATTCTTGAAACTATCTCTTGAATCGTCCCAATAATTTTAGACATAGATAATGAAGTTAGGCACATTATTACAAGTTCTCGAAACCACTTCTTTAATCATGGCAATGATTCTGGGCACACATAACCTATTGCTAATAAATCTAGTAGTTCATGCCAGGCTATATAAATGCTTCTTCAAGCACACGTTCCATCTATCAACCAGCCAAACTCTTTTAATTTTGAGCTGTTTTCAAATACATGGCAAATCAAAGGTAATGTTACAGAAAGAAAACATACCTATCACTACTATAATGGATTTATTTTGCAATTGAAGATATAACATGAAGGCGTAATTCTTCATACTTCTATGGATATGCACAAGTGTTCAATGTAAGGGGGCCTTTTGTAACACGACAGATGTCTGCACAATAGTTGAGTTCCTAAGCTCTTGCCAAATAGGTGTACGAATATAACATATTCTAATTGCTGGACTCATAAAGGTGGTCAAATGACTCACATCTCCTCTTGAATAAAATAACCCAGGAAAAAGTTTAAAATAAATTATTGTCAGTCAAATGGTTACATAGTACAACTTTCCATTGTGTTACCTAAACTGTGTACAGAAAATAAATCTCAAATGGAGTTTGAAATGGAGTCTGTAGGCAGAGGATACATTAGAAAATAATCAGACTTTAGAAATGAACGTTTATGGGAGCAAAATTTCACATTATTGGCTGAAATTTGAAACAATTAAGCAGTGGATCATTGCACAATTTTTCATTTGGTTACAAAGTTTTCATGAAGAACGTGTCAGATGTACATGATGATCGAAAATTAGGAAGACCAAAAATAGTAGTAGATTAAAAGAAGTGTAATGCTGGCATCAGAGCCATTGGCAACCAATGCAGCTGCAGAGGGGCAGTATTAAGGGGTGAAAAATTTTAGATATGCTGGGCAGCAAAATGCTTCTAACCTAGTGCAAAATTTACCGCCGACTCTAACCTAGTGCAGGAAAATCCCTCTAACCTGGAGCAAGGTAGAAAGAAAGAGGGTTGTCAAAGAAGAAATCAAAAAATACAAGAAAAAGAGATTTCTCCAATATAAAAATGCCGATTTTGACTGAGATTTTGGAGAAGATTGTTGTTTGTGTTCTGTTGATTCCTCATTGCTTGATGCAATGTTATTGATATGAAGATTTGATGATTAAGGTAAAAATCTGTATCTGGAATTACAATATTTGATAAAATGTGAATTAAATGTTTTGTCTAAAATTTAAATCATTATCAAACCAATGATTCTTCCCACAACTCCAAATATTTCAGCATACACAACCATTGGTGAAATAAATTATGATCTTTGCTTAGGAATACCAAGGAATTATTATGAAAGATATAGAGTTTCATGTGGGAAAAGTGTTCATTAAGCATATTATTGTGAATGGTTGCAAAATCTGTGAAGCAGTTGCATAAAAATGCCTGACCTGCTTAGGGATAGGAGATTAATTCTGAAGGAGTTCCACAGAAAATTGAGACGAGTCTCCTAACCAAGTAAAAGGCTGAAGGTTCACTACACCAGAAATAAAATCCTTATAAAATTCTTCCACAGGATTAAACAAGCTCTATATGGATTGCAAGGCGAAGCAGGTTTCTTCAGCAGTTACTCACACCATAAGGACTGAATAAAAGTAGTATCGTACAACGAATAGCAAATCTTCCATGTGGATCATAACTGTTGTCAACAATGGGATCACACAAGAATGTAAGCAGATACTATCAGAAGTAAAATTAACTTGCAAGAAGAAATATCAGGGAGAATAATTAAATAAAAATATTAGCAATATGCTTTAGATTAACTTCGTATTAGTGTATTCTGATGACCATTACCTGTTCAAAAAATAACATAATCAGAACAGTAATTACCACAAATGGAATTATTTGTAATTTTATGTATTTGTTGCTCTGAAGATAAGCCAGCAATGGACAATTTGAAATCACTCAAACTTTTACATACATAATATTGGAAATTAAATCAGTGATTAATAAAACACCATGGCACTGCATGATTTATATTTCAAATTCTATTTGTATTAAAACATTAAACTATATATATTAACATTAAACTATAAACAAGGCCCATTTCATACATTAAACTATAAGCAAGGCCCATTTCAGATGGCAAAGGATCGCAAGTAGCTCACAATCCTCATTTTAAGGTGTCAGAGAGCCAGTTTGCCCATGTGTGCTATATATGTTCATTTGTATGTGTATTTCAAAGGTATAAAAACAAATAATTTTTTCAACTTTTGGGTTCTTTATTTTATAATTATAAAATTTTTAATGAAATAAAAACAACTTCATATAAAGTTTGGAAGCATGAATTTTGTAATTTGGTATTATGAAAATAATATCTGCAGTGAAGAAATTTTTATTTAAAAATGCAGTTTGTTATTTATTCATGTGTATGATTGCTAAATAAAGTGTCATATCACAATTTCATCTCTAATTTTGTTATTTATGTTTGTAATCAAGAAATACCACTATCTTTAAAAATGTAACAGCAAATACAATTTTTAATCAAATTACCAGAATTAAAGTTTGTACAGAAGCTCAACAACAACAGGAAGAAATTCTAATTCTTACTAAAATTTTACATATATATATATGTGTGTGTGTGTGTGTGTATCATGTTTTTTCAGTATTTCTAGCATATCTAAAGAAAGAAAAACAAAGAATTTTATTAAGAACTGTAACTTTGTTGCACATTACTATTGAAAAATTCTGTTGTTTTTCATATTATTTAAAATTAAAACTGAAAAATTTACATCTGCAATAACTATGTTAGCATTCATTACATATTTGTCTAAGTATAAAATCCAGAGGAAAGTGGCCATTTTAATATTTTTAGCACGCATACAAATTTTATTTGCATTAAAATACAGTGTTTTGCAACCATAATTATTAGGCAAATGTATTTCGTGTTTTAAGCCTACACCTTTGTTCAGCTTGCCAATATTAAATAACCGAATCACTCTAGAGCCAGGATGCCTAAAACGCCATCCAGCGGTATGTGCTGTCAATTCATAACATCATGCCTCCTCCTCTGAACTGCCAGGTTCATCAGTTAAATCTAATTAATCAATATCATACACAACAGTTACTTATAAGTAACAATAGTGACTAATAATCAATACTGCAATTAATATTATATAATGAAAATACTACATTAATATTACAATAATAATTGATGACAACAATAAAAATAATATGTAGAATTCTAAATGAAAATTTTCAGAGTTCAAATTTCAAGTTGTGTCAAAATATTATGTATCAGCATATAGTTTAATCTGAAAGTTCCATTGGATACAGAATTTATATTAGTTTTTTCTCTAAACCAGATTTAAGTTTTACATTGCATGATCATATCTTACCATTGTGTCCAGTATATATTTCCACAATTTTACCAAAGTTCCACTTGTTTCTAGGCAACTTGCTGTCTCTGATCAAAACCACATCATTGACCTCAAAGTCTCTTTTGCAGGTTGCAGATTTTAAATTTAGCAAATATTCCATTTTTTCCAGTAATGATCTGACAGATTTTGATAACTTTTGATGATTACTTTTTTCCCCTATCTACATTAACATTTTAATCATATTTTAGTTGTGATGAAGAAATTAAACATTTTCTTATGAGGAAATGTGAAGGTCTTAATAGAGCTAACTCCTCTGGATTACTGTATGCATAGGTAAATGGTCTTAGAGTTTATCACAACTTCTATCTCTGTAAAGACAATTCTCAATTCTCCGATTGAGAAAGATAACATCCTAATTATTTTCTTGAAGATTTTCACTCTTCGCTGTATATGTTCATTGAAACTACTCTACCAGGCACCTCTTTCAATGATGAGTTTCTAGTAAATTTCAGCTTTTCCAAAAAAATTCACTTACTTCGTGGTGGTTAATCTTCTTTCGTATTTCCTGTGTTTCTAGGCTATGTTTTGAAGGCTTTTGTATTATCAGAATAAATTGTAAACATAGTCCGTGCTGTGAAACAAATCATCGATGTGTAAGTAAAAAGGTTTACTTACATTAGGAACTAGTTCTAAATGAGTGGCTTGTGTAATTGTTCAGGTACACAGTAAAATATACTTTTTTTTAAATCTGTCTTGTAAACAAGGGTCCAATGAAATTGATGCCAATCACATCAAATAGAGGAGATTCTTGAACACGGTCTGCTAAAAGCTGAGCTGTAACTTTTAACTGCAG